CAGACATTTTAAACTTTCTAAACGAAGGATTATTAATAAATCCTTCATGTGCATGATGTCAGATCATTTTCTTTTCACCTGGGGCGAGGAAGGCGAAGTTTAATAAATTCTGACATGTAATAAGAAACATTATCTACAATATGGTGTCATGTCGCACATGCTCTCTATCTCTTTCTCCATCTACTTCTGGACAAATAAACACAACCCTGACTAGCGGCCAATCTCTCCTCCTGTCCAAAAAAGAAAAGTAAAAAATGCATGACCTCACTCTCAGAGACTTCGGCATCACAGAGAGAGAAGGGAACATGATACGAGCAGGAATAACAAGACTTCATCATGTTTAGTGAAAGAGCGATACATCAGCAAGCCTGATTAATCGGTCAATACTTGGAGATTATCACCTGGTAAAGAAATCATCATTCAGCTTGGCTTTTTGGTGAATTTTGAGATTTTTTTTAAAGTAAATATAATGTAAAAAAAAAAAAAAAAAAAAAGAGATATATATGATAGTACATAAAATATATGTATTATTTAATATACACTACCGTTCAAAAGTTTGGGGTCAGTGAGAATTTTATTTTTATTTTTTGGAGGAAAGAAATCAATACTTTTATTTATCAAGGAAAAATTAATTTGATCGAAAGTGACAGTAAAGACATTTATAATGTTACAAAAGTCTTTTGAACTTCCTATTCATCAAAGAATCCTAAAAAAAAAAAAAAAAGATATATATGATAGTACATAAAATATATTTATTATTTAATATATATAATTTAAATTTTCAGAGAAAAAAATCCTGATCAGAATTAACTCCACACTAGCCCATCGTATGCTGTTAATCATAAATATTGCATGCATAGAGAGAGTAAAAATCAAACCAGTGATGTAAAACCTGTTGCTTGTGAACAAACAGTGATCTGTGCTCTTTAGGGAGTGTGTTTGGGCCGCTACTTGAGTTGATGAGTGTTAACACCAGCTCCCTTCATTTGCATGTAAATGCACATCTATAAAGCTTGGCTTAAACAAAAAAAAAAGACTTTCTGCTCAGAAATGCATCTGAAAGGAGTGTGTGACCATTACACCACATATGGAGACGCCACAGAAGGCCTGTTTCCAATGAAAAACTGTGTGTGTGCTGGGAATGACAGAAGACTAGCTCTGTACTAAAGTGTGCTGCCTACCTAGAGAGCATTTCAAGGCAACAAACAACACAAAAGCTTCTGAAATGCCTTATTTTATCAAAGTATATTTCCTTCAAGTATACGTCAAGATGAAGACAATACCAAAATGCACTGTGACTGTGTGGAAAACCATCTAAGATAGCAGACAAAGCAAGAGAATAATGCTAATCTTGACTATTTTAGCTATGTGCATTGAAATGTTCTATGCTTATTAGGAGTATTATGTTACATATGTAAATAAATGTCAATATCTTTGACTAAAACAGCATCGATTTTTGTTTTGTTTTGTTTCGAAAGGTTCTTTACTGGCATCGAACCTTTAACATCCATGGAATCTTTACAGTTTCTTTATAATGTAAAACGCTTTTTTGGATTATAAAACATTCTTTACACTAAGAAGAAGAAAAAAAAAAGGTTATTTTAAGAACTGTTCAGTGAAAGGTTCTTTTTGGAACCAAAAATTAAAAATCCCCCCTTTTGGAACCTTTATCGAGAGCACATGTAAAGTGCACGAGTCATATTGTTTCATTTTGGGTGAAAATGTTCTTTTAAACACATTATAAAGAGCACAGGAGCCTGTTTCTATCCAAATCGTTACAATCCTTCAATTCCATCTGCAAGACGTTTCCTCCATCTGTGGACGTACCGCAGCAGGGCGACAGATGTGTGGACACACTCGTCCTGAACTCTCACACACACACACACACACACACACACACTGTTCCAAATCCACATCCAATCTCCTCCACACCAAAATCTCTTTCCAAGCACTTCTCTGCGTCCGTCAGTCTCTCTCTCTCTCTCTCTGTTTGTAGTGGCATTCCTGCTCGGCTCTCGGCTCCAGTGTGTCTGGCCGCGCTGCACGCCTGGGAGCCATTAGTTTAAGTAAAGCCTGACACACACACACACGACTCCTCTTACAAGACATACAGACAGAGTGTGTTTGTATATAAGTGAGGAGACGTGTGTGAAAGAGTTTTGTGTGTGTGTTTACTTATAGTTTGGGGACCAAATTGTCCCCAGAAGTGAGTTAAAGTGAGTGAGTTGGGGTCATCCGGTAATGTACTGAATTGAAAAACATCAGAGAGCAGTGAGTGATTTTCTCTTTGTCTTTCGTTGTTAGATTCACATTAATGACACAGACAGCAGCAGGTTTATTAGGCTGCTGTCACTTTAAGAGCGAATGCACGGATCCAATATACTGATACACACGCGTTTTCTTTCTCAGCTGTTTACATTGACCGTTGAAGCCCAATTAGTTCAATACTCACATGCTCTATACTGAAATGATATATCTATATATTAGGGCTGTCAGTTAA